CGAACCTATGGCACGGGTGCCAGAGGTGGGACTCAGAGCCCTCTCTGCGGGCATGCGTGCCATCGCCCCAGCCAGGCCTAGACCGTCATTGAAGTGTGGAATTCTCTGCCAAATAATATTAAGTCAATGAAAGCATTTGGGATTGCTTTCCTTACTTTGTTTGGATCATCTTAAGTTAATGTATGGATTGTTTTTTCTAAAGTAAAACCTCAGTATTCAGGTTAAATTGTTGTGTTGGCACTTTGCGATAAATAAGTGGGTTTTGGATCGCAGTTTTGGCACTCGGTCTCTAAAAGGTTCGCCATCACTGGACTAGATGCTACCATGGAGGTCCCTTCCAGTCCTATGATTCTAACTCTGAGATTAAATAAATAAGTAAGTAAATAAATACATACAAATTCCGTCTAAGGAAAGGAGCATATTAGAGGTCAAAGTCCTCTTTTTGGTGGCCTGAAAACATATCAAGAAGCCCCTTAAAAATGAGCGCTCTGGGGCATGTACAGAGTACCTCCTTCCCTCCCTGAGTAACTGGGGGCTATTTCTATACAGCAGGGGCTTGGGGGAAGGCAGTCTGTGCCCATGCAGTGGATTTACGATGCTCGGACAGGCATTTCAGAACGTTTTAGAAATTCAGTTTGTCAGGGCCGGGAGGGAGACATTTCACTTTGACCTTGCATTGATCACTCCCCCCAGCCTCGAGCCAACAGGCCCGCTTCTCTTTCAGGGTACCAGGACGAGGAGGAGGAGGAGGAGGAGGAAGAAGGAGGGAGCGTCCCGGCCCAACCCCCCTCTGAGGAAAAGCCTTACAAATGCCATTTCTGCAACTCTGCTTTCCGATACAAGGGGAACCTGGCAAGCCACAGGTCCCTACATACGGGTGAGGGCTGCGCATGCGCTTGAGGGAGGAGATGCAAAGTTGGTGTGTCAGAGCACTGGTTAATGTTCTCTTCAGGGTGAGGGGGCACCTGGAGGGCTCCAGAGGGGGCCGGGGTGGTGTCCCCCCGATGACAGAGCTCCCAACAAGGAAGGCGGAGAGTGGGGCTTTCTCGGTGATGGCCCCTAATCTCAGGGGAAAACCCACACCATCCCGGAAAGATCCCCCTAACATCCTCCTCGCATCACCTGTTGGGTGTTCTCTTAGGAATGAAGCTTGGGCGTCGTCGGGTTTGGAGGGCTGCGTCCCAGCAAAAAAGCACCCCAGCCCGAGGGATTGTGGTTACGTGTGCCCCGCATCTCTGCAGAACTAAAATTTTCAGAGGGAATGCGGTCTTTGTATTTGTCTTCCCTTGGGAGAAGAGACCGGGGTGGGGTGGGGGTTGTGCAATGTGCTTCATGTACAAATAAAGTACAGGAAGGGGGGGGAGAAGAAGGAAGGAAGGAAGGAAGGAAGGAAGGAAGGAAGGAAGGAAGGAAGGAAGGAA